TACGATCAACATTAGACTCTATCGCTCCTATAAAAAGGAAATTATTAAAACATAGGAGACTAGCACCTTGGTATAACCAACAAACCCGCCAGTTAAAACAAATAGCTAGAAAATCTGAAAGGAAATGGCGCTCTTCCAAATTATCAGAATATCGCTCAAATTGGCAAGATGATCTTAAGATTTATAGAAAGGCCCTCCGTAATGCCAGAGGAGCCTATTACTCAGCACTAATAGAAGAAAATAAGGACAACCCTAGCACTGTAGCCAGGCTGACAGAGAGTCACAGCTCTATCGAGCCACATATCCCCATAAACTTAAGTAGCAATGACTTCATGAGCTTCTTCTATAATAAAATTATTACTATTAGAGAAAAAATTAATCACCAACTGCCATCAACAGTTATCAGTGGCTCTCCAAGTTCAGGGACTTCTGTCAATGTAAACTTAGATGTATATTTAGACTGTTTTTCTGCTATCGATCTTCATCAGTTAACTTCAATCATTTCTTCATCGAAGCCATCAACCTGTCTATTAGACCCGATCCCAACTAGGCTGCTTAAAGAAGTTGTTCCCTTAATTGGCACTTCTTTACTGGATATGATTAATCTTTCTTTATTATCAGGATATGTACCACAGTCCTTTAAAGTAGCTGTAATTAAACCCCTTCTTAAAAAGTCCACTCTTGACCCAGGGGTTTTAGCCAACTATAGACCGATTTCTAACCTCCCGTTCCTCTCTAAGATTCTGGAGAAAGTAGTCGCCAAAGAGTTGTGTGACTTTCTACATAACAATAGTTTATTTGAGGATTTTCAGTCAGGATTTAGAGTTCATCATAGCACAGAGACAGCTCTGGTTAAAGTTAATAATGACCTTCTGACTGCTTCTGACAATGGACTTGTCTCTGTACTTGTATTATTAGATCTTAGTGCTGCATTTGACACCATTGACCATGATATTCTTTTACAGAGACTTGAGCATCAAATTGGCATTAAAGGAACTGCCCTAAGCTGGTTTAAGTCATACTTATCAGATCGTTCTCAGTTTGTACATGTTAACGATGAATCCTCCATAAATACTAAAGTTAGTCATGGAGTTCCACAAGGTTCTGTACTTGGACCAATACTATTTACTTTATATATGCTCCCTTTAGGCAACATTATTAGGAATCACTCCATTAACTTTCACTGTTATGCAGATGATACGCAGTTATATCTATCAATCAAACCCAATGAAATTAATCAATTATCTAAATTACAAACATGTCTTACGGACATAAAATCCTGGATGACCTGCAATTTTCTGATGTTAAACTCAGAAAAAACCGAAATTCTTGTTCTTGGCCCCAAAAACCTTAGAGACTCATTGTCTAAAGATATAGTCACTCTAGATGGCATTAACTTGGCCTCTAGCACCACTGTCAGGAATCTTGGAGTTATCTTTGATCAGGATTTGTCATTTAACTCCCACATAAAGCAGACCTCTAGGACTGCCTTCTTTCATTTACGTAATATTAGAAAAATTAGACACATACTATCACAGACAGATGCAGAAAAACTAATCCATGCATTTGTTACTTCAAGGCTGGATTACTGCAACTCTTTATTATCAGGTTGCCCCAATAAGTCCATTAAAACGCTCCAATTAATTCAGAACGCTGCAGCACGAGTACTGACAGGAACTAGAAAAAGAGATCACATCTCTCCTGTACTAGCTACTCTGCATTGGCTCCCTATAAAATGTAGAATTGAATTTAAAATCCTCCTCCTCACCTATAAAGCTCTTCATGGTCAGGCCCCTTCATATCTGAAAGGGCTCATAGTACCCTATTACCCCACTAGAACACTACGTTCTCTGAATGCTGGGCTACTTGTGGTTCCTATAGTCTCTAAAAGTAGAACAGGAGCCAGAGCCTTCAGTTACCAAGCTCCTCTCCTGTGGAACCAGCTTCCAGTTGTGGTTCGGGAGGCAGACACCCTCACCACATTCAAGAGTAGGCTTAAGACATTCCTCTTTGATAAAGCTTATAGTTAGGGCTGGATCAGGTGAGTCCTGAACCATCCCTTAGTTATGCTGCTATAGGCCTAGACTATCGGGGGATTTCCCATGGTGCACTGAGCTCCTCCCTTCCTCTCTCTTTCTGCACTCATTCATGTTCCATTAATGCATGTTACTAACTTCACTTCTTCCCCGGAGTTCTTGTGCTTTCTCGTCTCGCAGGTTCTCATGGATCCTGGTGGAGCCTCCTGCCATGGTCCTGCTTGACTGCCATTGCCAATACTGTTGTTGCTGTGCACCTGTCTGTCTGTCTGTCTCTCGCTCTCTCTCTCTCTCTCTCTCTCTCTCTCTCTCTCTCTCACCCCAACTGGTCGAGACAGACGACCACCCACCTAGAGCCGGAGGATCTGTCCTAGGTTTCTGCCTTTTAACAGGCAGTGTTTCCTTGCCCTTGTCGCCAAGGTCTTGCTCATGGTGGTACTGTTGGGTCTCTGTAATTAATGTTAAAGAGTTCGGTCTAGACCTGCTCTATTTGAAAAGTGTCCTGAGATAACTTCTGTTATGAATTGGCGCTATACAAATAAAATTGAATTGAATTGAATTGAATTGAACTGTACAAACACACAACTTTATTAACACTGTACAAACACACAACGTTATTAACACTGTACAAACACAACTTTATTAACACTGTACAAACACAACTTTATTAACACTGTACAAACACACAACTTTATTAACACTGTACAAACACACAACTTTATTAACACTGTACAAACACAACTTTATTAACACTGTACAAACACAACTTTATTAACACTGTACAAACACACAACTTTATTAACACTGTACAAACACAACTTTATTAACACTGTACAAACACACAACTTTATTAACACTGTACAAACACACAACTTTATTAACACTGTACAAACACAACTTTATTAACACTGTACAAACACAACTTTATTAACACTGTACAAACACACAACTTTATTAACACTGTACAAACACCCAACTTTATTAACACTGTACAAACACACAACTTTATTAACACTGTACAAACACAACTTTATTAACACTGTACAAACACACAACTTTATTAACACTGTACAAACACAACTTTATTAACACTGTACAAACACACAACTTTATTAACAATGTACAAACACAACTTTATTAACACTGTACAAAAACACAACTTTATTATCACTGTACAAACACACAACTTTATTAACACTGTACAAACACAACTTTATTAACACTGTACAAACACACAACTTTATTAACACTGTACAAACACAACTTTGTTAACACTGTACAAACACAACTTTATTAACACTGTACAAACACACAACTTTATTAACACTGTACAGACACACAACTTTATTATCAAATACATTTTGGAAAATCATTAATTATTTCACAGATATTTAAAAATATATATTATATTTAATAATTTAAACTTTTAAATTCAAGTTTAATACTGTTAATATTTTATAAACTGATATAAAATCAGTGACATAAACAGTAAAAGTATTAGTTGTGTAACTTTAATGTATTAGTTGGTTAACTGACAGATATGTTGTGTTATGATGGAAGTTGAATAAATGTTGTTTATCAGTGTATAAGCATTTGTAAACTGTCCAAATACAGTTGTTATCAGTGTAAACAGCAATAATTACTGTAATCTCACAGATAATGACTTTTATTACACTTCTATAACTTTTAACATTAAAATAATAACAATCCAATAATAACAGCACTCTGCTGGAAATGTAAGTCTGATTATTGTATTATAGCAGAGTTCACCTGGATTTATAGATCATTGTTTTACACTGTAAATATCTTTAATTAAACTTTAAAAAGACAAAAAATAAACAACATTTTATGTCAACTTAAAGATAAAAACTGAAAATTACTGTATTTATGAGTCGTATTTTACTGTTGTTTTGGCTGATGGAATATTACCGTTCTTTTATATTTCCACTCCAGTCGTCTATTTATCGTTTATTTTATATCTTCACCTTTCTTCATCTCTTCCTCCTCTCATCTATCTATATTTCTCTCTCTCTCTTTCATCCAATCCTCAGTTTCTCTCCTCCCCACACATTCACTGCCCTCCCTTCCCCTTCCATTATCCTTCCTCCTCCTCCCCTCTCAGTCTGTCTCAGCTGTCCTTGGTGCTGCTGTCTCAGATGGAGGCTGCAGTATTCTGCTGAGTAGCAGTGAGCCAGCATTCACTCGCTCTGCCTCCAGTTGTCAGCGTTCAGCCAGCCCAGAGACGAGCCCGAGAGTCCTGGAAGAGGAAACTACAGCGCCCACAATCCTCCAGCTGCAGTCCAGACTGTCGCTTGGCCTGAAGCGAAGCCCTGTGGAACCCTGGGAGTCGCTGTCCTCACTAACCGGCTGCTGGTGGAGGCAGAGGGAGAGAGGGAGAGAGAGAGAGAGAGGGTGACGTGCCATGACAACCGTCAGAGAGGGAGAAAGGTGAGTTTATGTGTTTGTTGGTGTTCTGTTTACCTCCTTCATATTGCAGCTCGTCTTCCTCTCCCCGCCCTCCCTCTCTCTGGCTGTTTGTCATCATTTTCTCCCCCCTCCTGTCTTTCTCTCTCTCCTCTCTGTCTTTATCTATCATCACTTTTTCACCCACCATCTTTTCGTGTCTTTTCTTTAGTCCAAGCTCTTCCTCCGTCTCCGCCGGTCTGACGCTGCATTTTCCTGTTCAGTCTTGTGGGAATGAGCTGTGTGCATTGCTGTCAATGTTTGTCATATTAGATCTGTGTGTGTGTGTGTGTGTGTGCGTGTGTGTGTGTGTGTGTGTGTTTGTGTGTCAGACCATCTCCACCCAGTCAGAGGAGCAGCTAACAGATCAATCTAACATTCACTACATGTGAATGTTCTTTAGTGCAGCAACAATGATACATATACACACACAATGTGAGACAGTTTGAGACAATATGAGACAATGTAAGACAATGTGAGACAGTGTGAGACAATATTAGACAATATGAGACAGTGTGAGACAATATGAGACAGTGTAAGACAATGTGAGACAATATGAGACAGTGTGAAACAATATGAGACAGTGTGAGACAATATGAGACAGTGTGAGACAATGTGAGACAATATGAGACAGAGTGAGACAGTGTAAGACAATGTGAGACAATATGAGACAGTGTGAAACAATATGAGACAGTGTGAGACAATATGAGACAGAGTGAGACAGTGTGAGACAATATTAGACAATATGAGACAGTGTGAGACAATATTAGACAGTGTAAGACAATGTGAGACAATATGAGACAGTGTGAAACAATGTGAGACAGTGTGAGACAATATGAGACAGTGTGAGACAATATGAGACAGAGTGAGACAGAGTGAGACAGTGTGAGACAATATGAGTCAATATGAGACAGTGTGAGACAATGTGAGACAATATAAGACAGTGTTAGACAACATGAGACAGTGTGAGACAATATGAGACAGTGTGAGACAGAGTGAAACAGTGTGAGACAATATAAGACAGTGTTAGACAACATGAGACAGTGTGAGACAATATGAGAAAGTGTGAGACAATATGAGAAGATATGAGACAGTGTGAGACAATGTGAGACAATATGAGACAGTGTCAGACAGTGTCAGACAATATAAGACAGTGTGAGACAATTTGAGACAGTGTGAGAAAATTTGAGACAATATGTGAGACAATATGAGACAACATGAGACAACATGAGACAGTGTGAGATAGTGTCAGACAATGTGAGACAGTGTGAGACAATATAAGACAGTGTGAAAAAATTTGAGACAATATGTGAGACAATATGAGACAACATGAGACAACATGAGACAGTGTGAGATAGTGTCAGACAATGTGAGACAGTGTGAGACAATATAAGACAGTGTGAAACAATTTGAGACAATTTGAGACAGTGTGAGAAAATTTGAGACAATATGCGAGACAATGTGAGACAATATGAGACAATATGAGACAATATGAGACAACATGAGACAATATGAGACAACATGAGACAATGTGAGACAATCTACAGTGTGACAAAATATGAGACAGTGTGAGACAATGTGAGACAATATGAGACAGTGTGACACAATATAAGACAATGTGAGACAGAGTGAGACAGTGTGAGAAAATTTGAGACAATATGACAGTGTGAGACAATGTCAGACAATATGAGACAGTGTGACACAATATGCGACAATGTGGGACAATATGAGACAGTGTGAGACAATTTGAGACAATATGGGATAATATGAGACAATATGAGACAATATGGGACATTCAAAGACACACAATGTGTTAAAAGACAAGACTTACATGCAAAGACATCACATCAAAAGAAAAAACATGATATCAAAAAACATAAAAAGACTTAAAGACAAAACATTAATAAGGTTGTTTGGGGGTGGAGGTTGGATTATTAATCATATTGACGCGCAGCACAAATACTGTTTTTATTTTCTCTTTGATGCTAGTTGTTGTTGTTGTTGTTGATGTCCACAGTGTCCATCTGTTTACTGCTCACACAGTGGCTGCAGGGGGAGGCAGCAGATGGCCTTTGTGCTGGGCTACCTGCCTCCTCTCTCTCTCTCTCTCTCTCTCTCTCTCTCTCTCTCTCTCTCCCTGTCTGTCTCTGTCTCTCTCTCTCTCTCTCTCTCTCTCTCTCTCTCCCTGTCTGTCTCTGTCTCTCTCTCTCTCTCTCTCTCTCTCTCTCTCTCTCTCTCTGTCTCTGTTTCTCTGCCTCTCTCTCTCCCTCTGTCTCTCTCTCTGTCTCTGTCTGACTGTCTCTCTCTCTGTCTGACTGTCTCTCCCTCTGTCTCTCTCTGTCTTACATGTCTAAGAAATAGTTTTTGGAATTGCATTTTCCATGATGCTTTGGGGGACATAAACAGGAAGTATAATGTTGCTATGGAGACAGGAACACATTTTTTAGCCTCTCTCCTCTGAGAGCGCCGTGGTTACAGGTTCCCTCCTCCATCTCCCCTTTCCTCACCCTCCCTTCCTCTCCTCACTCCCTCTCCTCACCCCGGCCTCTCTGAGCAGTTGACCTCTTCAGCAGAAAGAGAGGCTGAAGGAAAGACTCTTTGATCCTCCTGAGGCGAGACCGCCGTCAGGAGGGAACAGTTCGTTTAATGGGGACTACTTTCAGCGGCGGATTAATCCACATTTGTTGCTGTATTGAGTCGTTGAGGCAGCAGGATGGTTTTTATATGAATTCAATTCAATTCAATTCAATTTTATTTGTATAGCGCCAATTCATAACAGAAGTTATCTCAGGACACTTTTCAAATAGAGCAGGTCTAGACCGAACTCTTTAAAACATTATTTACAGAGACCCAACAGTACCACCATGAGCAAGACCTTGGCGACAAGGGCAAGGAAAAACTGCCTGTTAAAAGGCAGAAACCTAGGACAGATCCTCCGGCTCTAGGTGGGTGGTCGTCTGTCTCGACCAGTTGGGGTGAGAGAGAGAGAGAGAGAGAGACAGAGAGAGAGAGAGCGAGAGACAGACAGACAGACAGGTGCACAGCAACAACAGTATTGGCAATCTATATCTAGCAGGACCATGGCAGGAGGCTCCACCAGGATCGATAAGAACCTGCGAGACGAGAAAGCACAAGAACTCCGGGGAAGAAGTGGAGTTAGTAACATGCATTAATGGGACATGAATGAGTGCAGAAAGAGAGAGGAAGAGAGGAGCTCAGTGCACCATCAATGATGATGCATCTCAGCAATCCTAAAATAATAACTATAAATATAACTGGGTGAAAGGGGTTCTTCAGGGTTCTTCAGGGTTCTTTTTCACTGACATTGTCATTGATCAGTCTGCTGTGGTGTGGTCCTGTTGGCGCTCATCTTCTGGTCTGACATGAAGAGGAAGGGAGATATTTCCACAGACCCCAGCTCAAACTAGCCAGGCAAGTCATTCATTAATTCTCATACCAATGGCGTCTTTATTTGATCCTTGAGCTGAGTGTTGCATCTAGTGTCCGTGATGTGCAGCCTTCTTTTTGTTCTGCCAAGACACCGACTTTTCCCACGGGTGTTTTTAATTTTCTGATTGAATGACGGTGCGCCGGTTTAATTGCTGCACCAGAAACTGAAAGTGAAACTTAGGTCCATTTCCTCAAGCCACTTTCCTTCCGTCATAAAGCTCTTTTTCCTGAGTTTAACTCAACAGTTGGGAAGGCATAGGTTAGCTCAGTTGGTAGAGCTGGCAACCCATGTACGGAGTTGCTGCAGTGGCATGGGTTTGAATCTGACCTGCGGTATTCCAGCATTTTCCTTTATTAGACCTCGTATATGGCCCCCCTCATAAAGCCTGGACCACCCTCTGGCCACCCCTTGTATAAAAGTCTAGTTCCGCCACTGTTCCTCAAGTATTTAAGGTTTTCTTTAATCCTGAAACAAAAGACTCAGAACCTCAGACCGACTCTGGCAGCCATTAGGAAGAGAAAGGAAGTACCCGGGTTGAAGGGAACCGTCCTCTGGAGGAGCTCAACCCTCTGGAGGAGCTCAACCCTCTGGAGGAGCTCAACCCTCTGGAGGAGATCAACCCTCTGGAGGAGCTCAATCCTCTGGAGGAGATCAACCCTCTGGAGGAGCTCAACCCTCTGGAGGAGATCAACCCTCTGGAGGAGATCAACCCTCTGGAGGAGCTCAACCCTCTGGAGGAGCTCAACCCTCTGGAGGAGCTCAACCCTCTGGAGGAGCTCAACCCTCTGGAGGAGATCAACCCTCTGCTGAAGCTGCTTTAATGTCGTCTTTAACATTCTGTGTCTTTCTGTTGTTTCCTGTCTCTGAACAGTAACTGCTGAGTCATGTCTGCCAGCCTGGACGATACAGACAACGTGTTCGGTGAGTCTCACACACACTTACACACACATTTATCTGACAGCTGTCGTTACTCAATCAATCAAACTGCTGCAGGTTTTAGTCCAAACAGGATGTGATGTCATATCTATATGTAAACACGTTTTCAAAATAAAAGCACGACCGTCAAAAAGGTACACATACTATTAAGTGGAAGAATAATAAACCTACACCTACTAGTACTAGGCATTACATTTTGAATTAGATTATAGTAATATCAAAAGCTTACATTTTCTCTGGACACCATCATAAATACATGTCTGTCAGTTGGAACAAACCAAAAAAACTAAAAAATCACTTGAGATTTTGACGATTTATGGTGATTTTATTTTTGTTAGATCTTTGCCTAGATTGACGCTAATGCATTAAAGGGGGGTGGATCCCCGCTGCAAGATGGCGTCTCTATTGACGCATTCGTTCCAATGAACAGCGGTAGTCAAGGCGACATCTAGTCAGTATATATATCTATGCGCGTTATTAAAACTGGCATCAAATATAGTAAACATTTCCTCTTCCTCTTCCTCTCCTCTTTTCTTCTTTCAGTTTCTGATTTCGTCTAAAGTCTCTCCGTCCTCCCCCCTCTAATATAATTACTCCTCTCCTCTGAGCCCTCCCCCTCCTCCTCCTCTCTCTCTCCCATTAGTCATTTAATGTTTCCTTCCCCCCACCCCATCCCCCTGCCTCCTGTGGGAAATAAAGCGCTCTCAGCTTGTTGGGGGGGGAGGGGAGACACAGGAAGTCGTCATTTTCTACAAACTGTATCTAAACAGACAAAAAAACAGATAAATTATATATTGTACTATATTGTGTTATTGTTGTTTGTGTTATTACTGTTTGTGTTATTATCGTTTGTGTTATTATTGTTTGTGTTATTGTTGTTTGTGTTATTGTTTGTGTTATTATTGTTTGTGTTATTGTTGTTTGTGTTATTACTATTTGTGTTATTATTGTTTGTGTTATTGTTTGTGTTATTATTTGTGTTATTATTGTTGTTTGTGTTATTACTGTTTGTGTTATTATTGTTTGTGTTACTGTTTTGTGTTATTATTGTTATTACTGTATGTGTTATTATTGTTTGTGTTATTATTGTTATTACTGTTTGTGTTATTATTGTTTGTGTTATTATTTGTGTTATTACTGTTTGTATTATTGTTGTTTGTGTTATTACTGTTTGTGTTATTATTGTTTGTGTTATTATTTGTATTATTACTGTTTGTATTATTACTGTTTGTGTTATTATTGTTTGTGTTATTATTGTTATTATTGGTTGTGTTATTATTTGTGTTATTACTGTTTGTATTATTGTTGTTTGTGTTATTACTGTTTGTGTTATTATTGTTTGTGTTATTATTGTTATTATTGGTTGTGTTATTATTGTTATTACTGTTTTTGTTATTATTGTTATTGCTGTTTGTGTTGTTATTGTTTATGTTATTATTGTTATTACTGTTTGTGTTATTGTTGTTATTGTTGTTCGTGTTATTACTGTTTGTGTTATTATTGCTTGTGTTATTACTGTTTGTGTTATTGTTGTTATTACTTTTTGTGTTATTATTGTTTGTGTTATTACTGTTTGTGTTGTTATTGTTTGTGTTATTATTTGTGTTATTACTGTTTGTATTATTGTTGTTTGTGTTATTACTGTTTGTGTTATTATTGTTATTACTGTTTGTGTTATTGTTGTTATTGTTGTTCGTGTTATTACTGTTTGTGTTATTATTGCTTGTGTTATTACTGTTTGTGTTATTGTTGTTATTACTTTTTGTGTTATTATTGTTTGTGTTATTACTGTTTGTGTTGTTATTGTTTGTGTTATTATTTGTGTTATTACTGTTTGTATTATTGTTGTTTGTGTTATTACTGTTTGTGTTATTATTGTTTGTGTTATTATTGTTATTATTGGTTGTGATATTATTGTTATTACTCTTTGTGTTATTATTGTTTGTGTTATTGTTGTTTGTGTTATTGTTGTTTTCGTTATTACTGTTTGTGTTATTGTTGTTTGTGTTATTACTGTTTGTGTTATTCTTGTTATTACTGTTTGTGTTATTACTGTTTGTGTTATTGTTGTTATTACTGTTTGTGTTATTATTGTTTGTGTTATGACTGTTTGTGTTATTGTTGTTATTACTTTTTGTGTTATTGTTGTTTGTGTTATTACTGTTTGTGTTATTATTGTTATTACAGTTTGTGTTATTATTGTTTGTGTTATTATTGTTATTACTGTTTGTGTTGTTATTATTGTTTGTGTTATTATTAAACAATGTGCATAAGTGAAGTAAATAGAGATGAAAGTGGTCCATTGTGGTAGAAGCAGTGATTTTAAGGTGGAACTGCTTGTTTCAGTGTTTACAGCAGTTTTATTTAGCGGGTCGGTTCTGGGGGGCCGAGACCTCGGTTGGACCTCCTGCAGGATCAATAATGTATGAAATATATGAGTGCGTTGTTGGGGGAGGTGGTTGGGTTCAGCATTAGTGGGCCGGTTGAGTGCATTACGTCAGTGCTGCTCCTCACACACACACACACACACACACACACACACACACACAGCATGTTGAATTTTTGATGAAGAGGATGAAGAGGAGCTCATTACGTTGAAAACTTGTATCGTCATCACAAATAAAGCTCTCCGTGGTGAGACGGTCGCCATGGTGACGATGCTCGGCTCTGTCTCTGATGGAAGCTGCAACAGGCCACACTGACAGGAAGTCACAGAGAATCTTCTAAATTTTCAAAATAAAACCCCCCTGCAGACTCACTGCATCCAAAAAGCTTCAAATAACAATAATCAGTTGTAATATTGTATTGGTAGCTAGCATTAGCCACATTAGCCAGAACTAGTGATACACATACACAGTGAGGATCAGGCAGTGGTTGTCATAGTTACTGTTAGCGTCCAGTAGGAAACAGTTCAAGCAACGGGTGTGTGCGTGACACCAGCCTCTGTTTGAAAATGAGTCTGATGATGTCGGAGAATTATGGATTTATGTTAAATTAGGATGATTGTGTCTGTCTGGAGGACTTGTCCTGGGGGGCGTCCCACCCACTATAAATCCAGGTGAACTATAATACAATAATCAGACTTACATTTCCAGCAGAGTGCTGTTATTATTGGATTGTTATTATTTGAATGTGAATGTTAAAAGTTATAGAAGTGTAATAAAGTCATTATCTGTGAGATTACAGTAATTATTGCTGTTTACACTGATAACAACTGTATTTGGACAGTTTACCTTATACACTGATAAACAACATTTATTCTACTTCCATCATTATACAACATATCTGTCAGTTAACTAACTAATACATTAAAGTTACACAACTAATACTTTTACTGTTAATGTCACTGATTTTATATCAGTTTTATAAACATATTAACAGTATTAAACTTTAATTTAACAGTTTAATGTGTTAAATAAACAATAAATATCTGTGAAACAATTAAAGATTTGCAAAATGTATTCTAATCTTTTTATGTAAAAAAAAAGGGCATTTTCTTTAAATAATGAGTAATTTTATGATTATTTACATTAAACATGTAAATTAGAGTATGTTTCTGTGTGTTGGTGTTTCAGACCTGAACGAGGCGATCCCAGAGACCGAGCTGCTGGATA